TAGGGTGTTGTGTGCCGTCAGAGTGACTCTCTGTGTGTCAGGGATAGTCAGGGCCGTCCATCAGAGCTCCAGTAAGCTCGGAGACACCCCATTAGCGCGGCTCGACCTCTTTGAGCTACTGCCTTCCCGGCGCGGTTTAGGTACCCACCGGCGCCGGGCTGTCGGACGACAGCAGCAGCGACGCCATAGAAAACGCGGGAACGCGCCCGCCGAATATATACTTTGAGTTTTACAGCCGGGATCAATTTTCCTTCTTTCTTGGCAACAGAGAGCGGGGCGATTCACACTGATCAGCAGCTTTTCCCCGCCACGAGATGGACAAAAAACAAAGGCGAGATGGCTTGAGTGACTGGCTAGAGACGACGACGACGATACAGTTCATGAACTGAGGAGAAGCGGGTCGAGCCTCGGCGCAGAGGGCAGCGCCTAGCGGGCGGGAACCCTTATCCCGCGCCCGCCGCTGCCCGCCACTTTGTGCGCGGGACATCCGAGCGCCACGAGCGAGGCTCCTGACACAGCTGTGTAATCGCGAAAAACGGGTCGCCTCGCTGTTGCACCCGCTGCTGACTTGCCGCGTGACGCGTGTTGGGTGCTTTCTAGGGGGTACAGGGTGAGAAGCCGTAGGAGATTTGAGGAATTCTTGAAACGCCGAGACAAAAAGAATTTTCATGCCGCCAACTGAAGCGCAAGGCTGAGCATCCTTGCTTTCCCCATTTGCTGTTCCATCATGGCTGCCAGCGCGAATCAGTCAACCTACGAGCGACACGCGGTGCTAAGAAGCCGTGGCGCGCCGCCGACGCTCACCTTCATCAACGGCGTGTGGTCGCGGTGCCTCCAGGCGAGCTGCGACGCCCGCGAGTCGATCACGCTGGTTTGGACGTGTCCGAGACACCACACCAGTACTCTCCGATGCCACCTCCTCGCCGCCACAGGAGCCGTGGATCAACCAGAAGCCGCACTACATCAAGCAGCCTCAGCCGGGCGAGGACGGCTGGCCGCAAGGCCTCACGTGCCTGCACGTCTTCTACGACGGCTCCCTCTGGCGCATCTCGTCCGACGACGATCAGAGCGTGTTTGCGGTGGCCAACACCGACGCGGAGCATCCCAACACGGTCTCCCGCGATGACTGGCACGCGGCGCCCAGCATGCCAGACGCAGCACCCCTCCCTCGCCTCGCCTCCCACGCACCGAGCGTCTCTCTGCAGCAGCTGCGCCTGGACATTGCGGCGCGCCCGCCCTGTAGGCTGCTGCTGAGCGCGAGCAGCCGCATGCTGGAGGCGTGGCCGGACTTTGCGCTCGCGTGTGAGGGGCCCAACACGGAGGCCAAGCCCTTCCTGCTCGACGAGCTCGGCGTCGATTTCTTCCTCCGCATCCAGCTCAAGTCCCGCAAGGAGCGCCTAACACTAACACACACAGCCCTGATATAACGCTCAAGTCCGGCAAGGAGCGCCGCCAACACTACCACTCTCCCACGCCTTCGCCACCGCCGTCTGCGCCTTCTGCCGCCTGCTCCGCCGCCGACCACCGCCCCTCCCCGCTCCTCAGGTGATCTGGTTCACCGACCCGATCAGCGGCGTCGTCTTCCACTCGGCTGCAAAGTCGACCTCGGCGCAAGGCGGTCGGATGCAGGTGCCACGCAGTCCCCGCACCTGCCTGTCCTTCCCCGTCCCTCCCCCGCCCGCCACTCCTCTCACCCACCCCTCCCCCCTTCCTTCTCCTCCTCTTCCTCCCGCCGCCGCCGCCTCCGCCTCCACCCCCACCCGGCGCCCTGCCCACTCTGCCCACTCTGCAGC